ATCGGCTCCAGTGGCGCAGATGGATAAGTGCGTGTCGTTGGCTTTTTGACGCGATCGACCCGGGTTCGATCCCACCTTTTGCCGAACTTTTTTTTTCTCCCTTTCCAAATCTCGTATTAGCAATGGATTCTATTTACACTAAGTGAAAATAGCAGTATTTTTAGCAATATGCTATTTACACTAAGTGCAAATACCTATTTACACTATGTTAAAATAGCAGGATCGAGACGTTATTTTGTTTTTTGACACCTATGTGCTAAAATATGATTAAATTAATTATTTATTATGTTAGTGATGTCTGTAAGCAGTGTTGGGGGTAACGCATTACAAGTACAGCGAGTTACGTAATAAGATTACTTTTTCAAGTAACTAGTAAAGTAATGCATTATTGTTTTATTAAACAATAAAATATCTTTGTTTTCTCATGTATTGACTGACAGCTCTCCTGTCCCCGTGTTGAGAGAAATCAGGAGTAAGTGCAGAAGCGTTGTGTGCGCTGTGTGAACATGATGTTAATGTAGTTCTAGACTAAATGTCAACATGTATTTACTCATCTCACTCGCACAAAAACAGATTCAGCATTCCTCAAAATGAATAAAAACAGTCAAATGCAAACTCAGGACATGATGCAAACATGTTAAGTAACACAAATATCCATTATGTATTTAATTCCATTTTATTAACTTTGCTGCTGACCTTCAATGATCAACCATACTAATGAGCAAAAATGACTTTAGATAAACATAACATTTGTGTTTCTTCTTTTTTGTTTTTGTTTCTGAAGACAGAAAAATGGGGCCAAGACGGATGAGAAATAGTAATGCAAAACTTTCCATAAAAAGTTACTAAGTAACATAATTAGTTACTTTTTTAGGAAGTAACGCAATATTGTAATTCATTACTTTCAAAAGTAACTTTCCCCAACACTGTCCATAAGTGATGTCACATTATTAAAACAATTTTTTAATTTAAAATGGCTAATTTAAAAGTGAATCTAATGTGCTTTACTTCCAGTGCGTACCATACAGACTGTTATATTCTTATCTGTAAATAACTATGTGTGTGGTAGCTGTATAAGAACTTCAAGCTTGTATTTCCATTTTGCATAACGGGTGACCCTGACAGTAAGCGAGCTAAACATTGTTTAATATATGCACGTCAAACAGAAAGAAAAGTCAGTACAGTCATTTTAATTAATTGTCAGAGGTTGCATTTAGTTATATATAACTGCAATACTATTGAGGAAAAAATAAGTGTTTTAAAATTACAGAGAAAAGCAATGACATAGTAGTATGTTATTATGATCAGTTAAGTGAATGTGTGTTCCTGCTGAACGTTTGACCTCTTTAACAGTTTGTGCTCTTGATTTTTTTTTTCTTGTTCATCACTGCATCAATTTCATAATGGTAATGTGTTAACTTCCTGTTCTGATTTAGGTTTAACATTTTTGTTCTTATTTCTCTTTTTGCAAGTTTATATTAAAGTCGTGTTGCACCAGTTTTGAACTTCTACCTTGTATGCATTATATTATTCTTTTATTTTTTATTTTATTTTAGGAAATTATATTTTAGTCACGTGAAATAAAATGTTACCATCATAATTAAGGAAACATGAATGTAGCTCATGTAAAATAAAACATAATATATAACTTTATTGGCACATATTTGGCACATAATAGAACATTTTGCTAAAAATAAATAAATAGATACAATTTCGAAATGTAGTGTATCACAGTTTCTACAAAAATGTTAAGCAGCAAAAACTTTTTTTCAGCATCGACAATAATTTAAATAATAATCATGTGGTCATAATAACGTCGCAATCCAAACGACGATCATAATAATATCGCATTTCGCGCAAACGTATTGTGATTGGTCCATCCTAACCAGCGTTGAGAAAAGTAACAGTTCTCATATGATACAACTTCAGCAGCGCTAGGGACAATAAATTACGTTTGATTATGGTAAACTTGAATATACCTTTAATTGAACATACATATTTAAATGGTACTATTATATAAGCATTGTTTAGACCCATTTTACCTGATCAGCAAGAGTACGGATTTTGTCTATGGAGACTATTATTATGAAACACGTCTCCCGGAAGCCATTTCAATCGTACGAGTCAGTTGACGTAACTTACAGACACTGCAGTGTTTCACAGTTTTACTAACTTCATCATGGCTGATTCTTTGCTTCGCTGGACTGTTGATAAGTTAAATCATAGTTTTGGATTGGAGGCAAGCGATGACATTGTACAGTAAGTACAATTTAATAGAGGATGAATTGTGCGCAAGTCTATCTGTGGTTTGTAGAAATGATGTAACGTTAACGTGGACTTAACGTTACGTTAAGAATGGAATAAATACAACAAGAGAAGGGATAACTTGGTGGGCAATTGGATTGGAGGCAAGCGATGACATTGTACAGTAAGTACAATTTAATAGAGGATGAATTGTGCGCAAGTCTGTCTGTGGTCATTTGTAGAAATGATGTAACGTTAACGTGGACTTAACGTTACGTTAAGAATGGAATAAATACAACAAGAGAAGGGATAACTTGGTGGGCAAACCTCTTTAGTACAAAATTATCACGTTGGCACATTATTTTTTTTGACATACCATTAGTTATACTATGTAAACACCTTGTTACATCATTATGAGATTTAGTCACAAAGTGCCATACTACCACTAACGTACCTTACTTTTCAATACTGACCATGGAAAATATATATTAATGTAACAAAATACTGCTAATGTGAAATGTGTAAGAAATGTATGTGGTGATTAATAAATACACAACTGACAGTAGATTCTTTGGAGTTTGTGATGGGTGTGTTTGGCCATCTGGTATCCAAACATAAATGTTGTTTTTGAAAGGGTCTCTGTGAGAATGAGTAGGCATTCTGTTAGAAAAGTCTAAAATATCTGTGTTTTCAGGTACATCCTATCTATTGACAATGCTGATGAAATTGTGGAGTATGTTGGAGATCTCTTACAAGGAACAGAGGGAAACAAGGACGATTTTGTGGATGAGCTGGTGCAGAGATGGCAGAGGTGTCAGATGCAAGCGCCTGATGGTCTAGGGGGCGTCTTTAAGAAAGAGGCAATCATGGGTAAATATGGACACAGATGTTTTTAATGTGAATACAGACACTGGTAAGAACTAAGGATAATATTTGAGTTAACACATCCGTATCTAGATTTTTTGTTGTTGTTGAATTCAAACTCTTCTTCTGTGCTCGGTTTCAATAAAAATGTACCTCTTTTCTATTCATCTGTTTTCATGTAAACAATTCATACACGTGTATGTTTTTTTTTTTTTTAAAGTTTCCTGAGTTTTAAATCAGAATGTCATAATTGGATGTTCTGGTGAAAAAGTTCTCTCTGGTGATGTATCTTCTCCAATCATTTAGCCCACTTAAAGGGATAGTTCACCCAAAAATGAAAATTTGATGTTTATCTGCTTACCCCCAGGGCATCCAAGATGTAGGTGACTTTGTTTCTTCAGTAGAACACAAATTATGATTTTTAACTCCAACCGTTGCAGTCTATCAGTCGTATAATGCATGGCAATGGTAACAAACCTGTTCACATCAACACAGATGTTCGGCACAATAATTCAATCCAATGCAATTGGTCTCTTCAGTCTAAAACAGCACATGGGCTGAAAAATGAAAAATGCAATTTCACTCTGACAGTATGTGGTGCTTATGGAAAAGCAGAAATACAGGAGCACACAAAGACAGCAGTATAATGCTATTTGATTATCAAGATGCTAATGTTTTTTCTTTAATTGTTATTCTTATGTTTGTCTCAGCATTTGATATGCTTTGACTGTTATTTGTCATAATTGCACTTAATAATGTGTTCATTGTTCAAAATGTTGCAATAAAACACAACCGCATGCACACACTGGGGCGTCACTGTGCAACTTTTCATTTTTGTCATGGCCTGTCACAGTGAAGAAACAAACAACATTTACATGTTTTCAAACAGTACAGAGAAATAGTTGGTTCCAGATTGGTTCTACTACCATTTATTGTCGATTAGCAATGCTGCCTGTTTGTGAGCACCACCAAGTCATATAACATATTTTATATAACAGCGCTGTCTCCATTCACGTGATCAAAAATGTAAATCTTATTGGTTTTATTCGCAGTGCAATGGAAAAGAGATTAGAACACCTCTGTAAAAAAAAAAAGTGTGAATGTTCTTGTCGGTCTGAACAGATGCATTAACTGCTGTTCATTCAAATTAAAATTCATCTTGGCTTGAACAGGCCTTAAACCCAGCCCTCGCAAGCTGCTGTTTATCTGCTTACAATAGTGAGTGCAGCAGCCATATCTCAAAATCCAGTCAACAGCCGATGAATAGAACCAAGTCCCCGGCCTACATTTTTTTAAATCGATAGGTCGCAAAGCAAAAGAAAAGTTCTGTTGCTACTTCTGTATTATCGTAATTTTTAATAAAAGTACAAAACAACCATTATATTGCTTGATCTGAGCATCTTCACATATTGTAATATATCTATTCAGTGTCAATAAAGGAATTTTGTAAAAAATGTCTACCCCAGAGGGTCTAGATACAGCTACCAAAGACACTCAGAAGAAGTCCAAACGAAAGGGAAGAAACAAGCAAGAGATTGTGACTGTCTGTCAGGCAGAGCCAGAGCCTGTGAAAACTCCCATTGACTTGATGAAGGTATGTCAACTCATTTAAATATCTAAAACTCCTTCATAAAATAGATCAGGTTTAACTAGGTCGAAAGAATTACAGAGGGATTTACTTTCTTTTATCAGGCACAAGAAAACAGCGGCTCCAGCTCAGTGAAAAAGAAGAGCAAGTTTGTGAATCTGTATGCTAAAGAGGGTCGAGATAAGCTGGCTATTCTACTGCCTGGCCGTCAACCCTGCGAGTGTCTGGCTCAGAAACACAGACTCATCAACAACTGTCTGAGCTGCGGCCGTATAGTGTGTGAACAAGAAGGCTCTGGCCCCTGTTTGTTCTGCGGCAGTCTGGTGAGTAGTGATGTTATACTCGACACTGAAGCTCCGAAGCTTGTATAAAAAAAACAACGCATTTCACATCAAAGCACTGTATCGGAGCTTGATTAGTTTTGCCAAAAGCACGTGATCTATGACGTTTGAAGCTTCGTTGATCTGAAAACCATGTGACTGCTTTAGTATCTGGTTCAAACGAAGCAAACCTCGGCGCCGTTTCCTTTACATTATATTACTTCATAATGCGTTAGCATTTTTTTTTTCTTCAATATCGTAATTAAATATTTAGCTCAAATGAACTTTGCCTATGAAATAATCGGACTAAGTCAGAGTTAAAATAGAAAGATTGTGGATTTAATTTATGAATTAGTTTCATTTATTTGACTTACTTTAGTACCAGTACACCGACACAATTGAAGGACTTTTGCAATGAACATTATTTATAAATCAGTTGTAGAACCAGCGGCTGTAAATGAACACAGCACTTTGGAAGGTGTTATTTATTTTTATGACCACTAGATGGCCACAACATAATCTTGTGTTGAAAAGCTTCCAGTAAAGAACCTTTTTCCGATACAATTGTGTCGAAAGCTTCACTGGTTCAGAACTTTTGGTGAGCTTTGTCAGCTTACTAATCAATACAGTCTGTTTGTGATAGACCCATATATCTGGCAAGGCAATTTTTTTTTAGATGTTCCTTAAAAGAAGTACCGTATTGTCCCGAATATAAGACAATGTTTTTTTCTTGGAAATACGCGGTCGTCTTGTATTCAGGGTCTAGACTTTGACATGTCAATAATACACCCACAACACTAGGTGGCGCCAAATACGCATAAAACGAGTGTGCCATGAAATACGTAATGTAATGCGTGTTGTAAAGATCGCGAGTGAAAACAAAAGAAAAAGAAAACCTTACAGCTGCATGAGTCGTGACTGTCACGTTAGCCTGATGACACCAAACTCCCTTTGTGATTTTAAGACTACAGTAAGATTTAACTTCTACTGTTAATAAGATTTTGGTAGGCTACTATTAGATGGATAGCCTAAATGTCCTAATTCTGATGGGCTACCTGTTTTGTTTTTTTTAATGGTATATCAAAAAGTGTATATTTTAAAAATGTGATTGTTGGTACATTTTACCAGTTTTTACCATACTTTCAAAACAAAAATTAAAATAGGAAAAATATGCAATATGAAAATAATTGAAGACAAAATGTGTTTTACTGAGAAAAAAAAAAATTTGTTTTTTAAAAAGCCTTTTTCCAAAAGGTACATCTGGAAAAAGGGGGGGTCGTCTTATAATCAGGGTCGTCTTATATTCGGGCCAATACGGTAAATGTCAGAAGCAGTCATTTTCAAATGAAAATACAGATAGTCATGTTATTGGAAAACCATTTTTTAAGGGTGAATCTCATGAAAACAGAAAATGTCCAGGTCATATCACACCAAAAATAAAATAAAAAACAACAAAATACTGTAAATATTATAATGTTTATAATATATACAATATCATTCAAAAGTTTGGGTAGATCACTATTTATTTTATTTTATTTTTATTTTATTAATAGATCACTATTTATTAAATTTTTTTTAAACGTGCATATTTGACAAGCAGCAAAAGCCGCAATGAGGGTGCTCAGCTAATGCAAAGAGTAAGAAGAAGGGAAAGCTGGTTTGAAACGTTACCTGTGGTGAGAACATGAAATAAAACATTTTTGTACTTTTGGAGCTGTGGTTTGCCAGCTTTTCCTTCTTTTTATCACTATTTTTAAAGAAATTGATTCTTTTGCTCCACAATTTTGCTCAAAAATCACAGTAAAGACAATTGTAATGTTACAAAAGATTTCTATTTCTGTTCATCAAAGAATCCTGAAAAAAAGATACTGGTTTCCATTAAAATTAAGCATAATTATATTAAGAGAAAATAGTTATTTTGAAATTGTAATAATATTGCACAATATTTTTGTTTCCGAATGAATTTTTGATTAAATATAAATATAAATGCATATATAAATGCAGCCTTGGTGAATAGCAGACAAAAACATTAACATAAAATACAAATCTTACCAATCCCAAAATTTTAGACGGTAATGTGAGTATTGATATAGCTATTTGCGTTAGCCATGGAAAAGCCCATACAAATTAACCACTGTTCTGCATCTTGTCTAATCTTATGGACCTTGCAAATTTGATTATGAGAGTGATGGACAACTGTTTCAGACAGGGGTTCTCAACTCTGGCCCTCGAGGTCCAATTTCCTCCAGAGTTTATCTCCAACCCTAATCAAACACACCTGAACAAGCTGACCAAGGTCTTCAGGATTGCTAGAGAGTTACAGGCAGGTGAGTTTAGGAGCTAAACTCTGCAGGAAAGTGGATCTCGAGGGCCAGAGTTGAGAACCTTTGGTTTAAGAAGCCTTCATCAACACTATTTAACATTTTCATGCATAATTCAGGTCTGTACTACAGAGGAGCAAGAGATACTGCAGCGGGACTCCAACAAAAGTCAAAAGCTCCGTAAAAAACTCATGGGAGGTAAGAAATGAAGTGATTGTATTTGTTTTCCCCTGACTGGCAGCATTTGTGTGACTGCCTTTGTTTTCTGTGTGGCCTCAGAGGGAACCGAGCGGGAGCATCTCCCCCATCAAGAGGCCAAGATGAAAGCTGGTCTGGAAAAAGCTGTAAAGCACAAAGACAAACTTCTGGAGTTTGACAAGAACAGGTCTGGCTGTCCAAATACACTGCTGTTACCCTATTGATGTAATTGACAGGGATTAATTAGATTAATTTCAGCCTGAGAAATGCCCACGAACCATCTGAAGTATAATGCACACACAAAACTAAAGTTAGACATTTAGATAATTTGAACTCTTCCTCTTTTTTTTTTTTAGTGTTAAGAGAACACAAGTCTTGGATGATGAATCCGATTATTTTGCAACGGATTCCAACCAGTGGCTTTCTCCAGGTGAGAGGGAGGCATTACGCAAGCGAGAGGAGGAACTCCGGGAGCTTCGACACGTCTCCCGCAAAGACCGCAAGATCACAATCGACTTTGCAGGGAGACGAGTGCTGGATGAAGGGGAGAATTTGACTCCGTACTACCAGAAGTAAGGAGCCACCTCTGTAATATATATATATTTTTTTCCGGTTCAGCCTTCAGAGGTGTAGTCTTTGAAGTCTGCATCCTTCGAAGGATGCAACCTCTGAATTGGGACACAGCTTAGATTTATAAATATTTCATGTTCAAACTATATATATATATATATATATCTCATATGTTCGCTTGCGTTGACATTCCTTGTATATCTCATATGTTCGCTTGCGTTGACATTCCTTGTATATCTCATATGTTCGCTTGCGTTGACATTCCTTGTATATATATATATATATATATATTAGGGATGCTCCGATCGATCGGCCAGAGATCGGTATCGGCCGATAATCACATTTCATGACTCGATCGGTACTCACTATTTGGCCGATCTCACGAACCGATCGCAATTTGATGACGTCAACGCCTGACCACGTACATGATGCGTGGGGATGTAAATGATTTTAAGCCACAGTCATGTCATTGCCGTTGTGGAAATGCTATGACGTTTCGAGAAACAATGAAAAATTCGCTATTTGTCGTGTATGTTTTGCATGATGATGAATGGATGGTTCATTTTTAACAGCAGATTCAGTGACGTTAGAGCTGATCTGCGCCTCACTGCACAAGTCTGCGGCGCGTTACGTCTCCACGGGAACCGGAGCTGATCGAGGCGCTCTAGTCAGTGCTTGTGTTTATATACAGTATATATACGTATATATATATATATATATATATATATAAGGAATGTCAACACAAGTTAACATATTCGATTAATTCAAAATCCTTAACACATTAAAAATAATACAATTCAAATAATGCAAATAAATTCCCACCACTGTATAGCCAGATGAGATGCAAACTACATTTCTCGACTGAATAAAGCATACCAGCGTCTCACTAGAAAATATTAAATGAATGAGGATTGCAATCAAGGTAAAGATGATTGTGGTGATGTACAGGAGTCATACAGTAAGCACGCTTGAGTCCATTATTATTGGAAAGACACCTGAATATACCTTGAAAAAAGCTTGCAGAAAATACAGTTTTCTGTAATACACTCTTCAATCTGATGGTTTGTTTGGTTGGATATAGCAAATGATGACAAATTGAATGTGCTAAACAAGATATATCTGTATTGATTGTCTATAACTGTATCGCCATAGAGTTTTTCCATTCCAAAATTTAAGACCACTTAAAATGATAATATGTTTGTTTATAACTTTTAAGATCTAAGACTTTTTTTGACTTGAATTTTCTTAAAACAGAGGACCCGTGGGAAGTTTTTTTTAAAATTATTTGCACACATGCACCTAAATACATTTTATAGTACGCACACGTCTTTTTAAAGTCACAAATGTGAGTGAAACACTCACACTGTCGAGCCCTGAGCATGTTAGCATATTTTTTAGAAGTATGATGCTGCCTTTAAGTCCTCATTGGAGGTTCCTACTTAAAGGGTTAGTTCACCCAAAAATGAAAATTAGCCCATAAATTACTCACTCTCAAGGCATCCTAGGTGTATATGACTTTCTTCTTTCAGACGAATCCAGTCGGAGTTATATTAAAAATTGTCTTTGATCTTTCAAGCTGTTTAATGGCACTCAGCGGGTGTTGCATGCATCAGTCCAAAAGAAGTTAAATAAAAAGCGCCCATCCA